AGCGCCGTAACAAGAGGCCGTTATGCATGAGCATGCGCGCAACCGCTGCGTTATAACGACCATGGGCTCTAGAATACGGGTAGAATAACATTGTAGTAGCTGCGGAAGCTTCGATTCTGAACATAATTGATGTTTTTACTTATCTTCCACATTTTTCCAAACAAAACCAAGTAGATATATTTACAATGCACACGAATATCTTTCAAACTTTATATAAATTACTGTGAGTCTCGGGCTAGATTTATAACACGAAGCCACTTTGTACCGTTAAAATGTAGTGAATTATTTGTGCACACCTTTAGCAATAATAAATTCCTAAGATGTGAATCGATTGCACTGCAATAGTTTATTTCATAACTTATAATGATACAGCTATAGAACTACACATAGATATTTATGATAACTTGATTCAAACAAGCTCAACTCTTCAGCCAAAAGAATGCTAAATCTGTCGTGAGTGCTCAACAGCACGTAAGAATTTGCAGAATTAACACCGTTCCACATTTTTCATAGACAAGAAAACATTATCAAACCATTTGCAAAGCATAAGTCTTGATATTGGTAGCCTTATTCTAATGAGTCCTGGTGGTATATAAAAGGAAAGTAGTATTTCATGTAACAGTTAATAATATTTAAGCGTAAATATTGTACACTTCAAGAAACTGTCTTTCGAACATTTCGAGGTCGATGTTACTAAACGATGCCTAATTATATTACTACATGTGTACATTTACCATTTACTTCATGACCTGCGTTGAATCTTGACCAGCACTCAGCAAAAACTAGAATAGTAGTTGCGTATATAAATCACTGCAGCCTCCATATTGTAAACACAAAGTCATTAATATCAACATTTCTTAAATAAGATTTTAAACGGTCCCAATCAGTCCAATAACGCCAGTGTTTTTCCTCGTTGTAGGTTAAACTATTTATGAGTGTTCTTGAGTCATGACAGAACATTTCAGGGTCAAAAACAGCCAAAAACATTTTTGGAAATTGTCCTTCGTGTCGTTGTAATTTCTCGCTTGAAGTGAATCACTAATGAATTTCAATGAATTTTCAACAGACTGGCGCATGCGCACGCCAAACGGCCCCTTGTTCCATACGCTACAATGTTTTTGCTTTCAGTGTTATAACAACGTCGTTTCGACGCCATTCTTCTGGTCGTCTTCATCAGGTAAATCAGTATGCTTACATATACACTTACCAACAGCAAGAGCACAGTTCCGAGATCAACTTCGATTTGAAAAGCAGCGATGAGTATTAGAACAAAAATGGTAGAAATCAAATAATTGATGTAATCCCAAGTGTAGGTCGCCAACCAGTAACAGATTGTATGAACACCACTCACGAACTGCAAATGTTTTGCCTGTGAATAGATTATGAACAACAGTTAATGATTTGATAAGTTGGTTGTACCAGTAGATAAATATTTCCAATTGATAAAGTTATATACCTATTTCAAAAAGGTTGTCGGATAAAATGGAGAATGTCAATGGTCGAACGATGATTGCACGACCGAAAGTATCCATGGGTTTTGCTAATTGAAAGCCAATAACAACTGATTTGTGCTGTAAGATGGTCTGTGGTAAACATTGGCTCCATTTAGTCACCATTTCTATGTAAGGTGAATCCAATAAGTGAAATTTTGCTTATCAAAACACTGTAACCATAGTCCTTTTCGGTCGTGCAATCTCCCTTCGACTATCGCCATTCACCGTTTTCCCCGACAACGAAATAGCTGTATACACCATAGTGTTTGTATGGATTCAATCCCGTAGATAGCGCTATTCACCCTCCGTGCAACAATACTACGGGTCTGGAAGCTACCACTTAATGACTTGAGACCTGCAACGTTTCCAGTGAAACTAAAACTTCGTTGTACAGCTTACCTTGGTAGAACGTTCTTGGACTAGAAATATTATGAAACTTGCTGCCATGAAGCCCATACCCATTGCTAGAAAGATTGCCACGTAAATCTGTAAACCAGCTTCATCCCCATTGCCATCCTCATCATTTACCTAATGACATTTGATCAAAATTAAACATCATTTTTCTAAGCAGTGCATAGTGGCAGTGAAATCCAATGGAAGAACAATGGGTTTCCATGATTTTTACGGAAAAATATGGAATTGTTGCCTATTTAAAAAGCATATAAGTTTGCTTTGAAATTCCTGTAAATCTAAATCTAGATTCCCTGCAAGCTTTTTAGTCGAGTTCCACGAAAGCTGCCGAGAGCGCAACACCATAGATAAGGAAATACCATAGCTAAGGAATCCAGCCGGCATGATGCTGCCGCACTAGGCATGTTGGTTCTACATGATCGTTGCCAAAATGCTTGGTCCATTGAATTTCCTTAATTTCCTTTAAGCAGACAATTTCATCCCCTCTCGCCTCCTTATAATTGAGCATGTTACCATAGTACCGAAACATCCAAAACACGACCCAACATTAATTTAAGGGGGCTCAGTAGGGGGAACAATTTTGAAAAAGTAAAAATAGAAAAAAGTTGACCGAAGACAATTTCTTCTATGATCCATGGTATTTGGCAATGATTGTAGGTATTAAAAGGAATAGCGTAACGTTGACCCATGGAGAGTAGTGTATATATCATTAGACGAGCTGGCAAATGTGCACGTCCAAGCACGCTGTTAAATACAAAACAATGTGGCTGAAAAAAGTTAAAATGTTTTAAAGTTACCTTTTTCTTTGGTGGTATTGGGTAATTAGTAGTTTCGATTAAGTCATCAACTCTATGTCGACGTAACAATATATTGGACATGGCATTCAGTGCATCAGCGATTGTATGATAGCCCTAAATATAATGATCAGTAAGATTTTATAAAATTGTCATCAAGGGAAATAAATGGAAATGGGAAAGAAGAATATGCAGCGAATCTCATGAACTTCATCATTTCACATAAGTAGCACGCTCCCTGCTGGATGAATGTTAGATACGAAGCTTTTGCTTTCTGATAATTCTTTAGCAATCAATTAGATCTAGAATATAACAGAGAAAATAACTAAAGTTTTATTCTTGCTATTGCAAGAATGATGATTAAATTGTAAAAAAATCATAATTATATTGTTTGAATCACAAATATGTAAAGATCTAAAATAACCACTGTAATTCTCTTGCACAAAGACCCTATCACACTCAAAAGGCGCGAAAAAATGTCTTTATTACAATAGTCTCAACAATTTCCCTTTTTTCAAATTGAGACAATTTGTTAGGGTTATTGAAATAGCCGACTTGCGAGTTTTGCCCTAGTAGTCACACACAAAGGAATAAAGACGAGGCGCATAAAACTCAGTCATTCATTAATGGTATATCCATCGAGTCGATTTTCGATGAACTGACACAGGGTTCCCGCGCGTACGCACGTTTCCTTCCGGCGTCCGTGTACCACCACAGGAAAACCACACTCCAAAAGCGCCAAAATATTTGTTGAAACATCGATTTTTTTCTCAAACACTTATTGATAACCAAATTGATAATAATTGATAATATTAGGAAAAGTAACCACAAGAAAATAATCCAGAGGAGAGCGAAATCAAAGCACAGAAATATTCCCGCCAATTCCCCTCAAAACTACGACGCGTCCGCACATCCGGAAAATCGATTTGCGAAGATGAAAAGCAATTTACTTTCGTCAAGCGTTTTGAGGCTCAGTTTTTATGAATAACAGGATGACTTTTCACTTTGACATGTAGACAACAAGAAAAAGATGATACTATATTGAAATTACTACAAAAATATGGGGAAAAGTAACAATATATCTGTGTGAATTTTTTGCCAAGAAGTGTGGGGATTTCGCTGAAACCAAGACCATCAGCAGAACTCGATTGAGAGAGATTTAACTTATTTAAAAACACAGAAAATCAACAAAATTACAGCCTTGAATGACTTTATAAATTGATGAAACCTATGCTTGAAACAAGTATGGTTCTGTTGAAGATGTCCATTGAACGATATAATTTTATCGGAAGTTCAATAATAAAGGTAAAAAAATATTTTTGTAACTTATACAGTTTTCTGTGATGTGAAGTTCGAGTAGGGAAGGGTTCAAACATCGAACTTTTGCCGCGTTTAATCCGAATGACTATTTTTGCCGAGAAGCTTTCAGTTATTCTCATAAACATGACTCTTTCTTAAGCTAAAATGAATAAATATGTTTAGAATATTTTTTTGCATGTCAACATTCCTTGAAACAGCGCATCTCTACTAAGGCTATCTTTGAAATAGTAGTACTATAGATAATCATTTTCAGCTTCTGTTTTGCTATTGGAGCTCCGCTATTAGGTGTTACCTAATTTTTATATTACCTTGTTACTATACCAGACTGTAGAATTTGTGTCAGGCGTGGCAACAACAGATTTGGTTGTATTGGTTCCGTTATTAGAAGTGAGGTCATTCTTGATGTTATGGGCATGCCCAAATGTAAACCCGGCCACGTGTTTCTTAAAGTAATCCTTGTTGTTACTTTTCTCCAGGACATATTCACTGAAGTACACATTCATGTCATCGAGATTTGTTTTCTTCAAGGAATTTGCGCACCAGCTATAATAATCAAAAAGGTAGAAATAGATTAGTTTTTATATGGTACATACGTCAAAGATTTACAGGACCACATGAACCAAAAGCCTTTGTTCGATCTAATACATACGAAAAAAAACAACGACATCTTTGATTTTGAGCCAATCAAAAGTTAACTTTCAACAACAGAACTTCAAACAAAGCGAGGATCGCAAAGGCTTTCGGATGCAAGTGCGCCTTTAACGAACGGAGTGCAAAATGCAATCATGATAAATCCAAGACGGACAAGCTTCCTTAAATTAAGGTTTTCGTCCGTTTTGACGAATAAGTGGTCGGTGCAGGAATTACATTCAAGAAGAGACAGTATAAAACATATGTTTTTCTAAGTAGCGACGACAATAAGTTCTGAATTTTGCGGCGCGGGGTATCGTCACATACTTCAATATCATCTGCAGTGGGAAAGCTAAACTCATGCCCAAAATCGCCTGTAAGTTGACGGTTTCTCGAAGAGTAGTATACAAAAGAATTTTCGCTTACACTTTTAGAGATACCTGAGGGCAGAGTTGCTGCTACTATATGGTACCTAATAAACTACAAAAAGACCAAGTTTTGCGTTATTCGGTGTGTTCCCAAGTTGCATATAAATCATCAATTTTCTACTCAAAAATGTTTTTCTTCCAAGAAAAAGTTCCCGATTCAGACAGCTCAGCTCTGAAGTGCACGTTAGAATAAGGAAAAAACATAAAACTTACTCTGAAAGCAAGCAATCCATATACCTCCATGGATGCCGCGGATCCTTGCATTTTGTGTACCCAAAGTTCTTGTTCTTAGAGCATGTATCAGAAGTTAGTGATTTGGTCATGAACTAAAGAAAAAGAATACGTGCAATTAGTGCCGCAAATGTAAGCGATATAGAATGAATCTTCTTCCTTTCCTTCCCCTTTTCCATCTCTTCATATAAATTTATTTATTACTTAACATTTGAAAAAAGGTATATTCATTACTTGATGATAAATAGTAAAATGCATTTTCGGTAAGTTCTTTGAACAAGAGAATCTGTTGTCAAATAAAACAGCGGCTATATCCGCCTCAAATTTAAAAGAATGTATCATGGTATGGTGAATCCTTGTATTGTGTTGCATCCTATTGCAAACATGAAATGTACTTACGTCACGTTTGCATTTTTTATTTAAGATGAGAAACTGATATTGACAGCAGGCTGTAGTTTTATTTTTGGTGGGCGTCGTGTAGGTGTATTTTGTTCCTTTGATTTCAATGCTGTTGTTCGTGTTTCCCAAATGTATAGCTTTGACGTCATCAAGGATGTCTTTTGCATCGACACGAATAGTTTTAAGGAAATCTCTTGCGACCTGTAAAGAATACAGCATGGTATCCATTGGTAAATTGTTAAAGACACCATTTGTCACATTTATACATGCACGACCAAGAGTTGCTATGCTGGGTATTAATTGGGAGAATATCCAATCATGAAAGGCCGCAATAGTGTTGTTTCCATCATCAATTTGAGTACTTAAATGATGGATATCATATTGTTGATGTTTTACAGGAGTGAATATCATCCACCAAAAATACCCAGTAAAATACCCAACAGATCAAACAATATTTCGTGTACTAATCGTTCCGCTCTCACATCCATTACGTACACCATTACTACAATTACCACTACTAATAAGTCACCTTTACTTCGATGTCCTAACATCACTGGCATCACAGTCAGCTGACGTCAGTACCATACCTTAAAGTCCTTTTCAGGTTGGTGGAAATCTGCATAGTATGCAATCACATTGCTGTCATCAGTGCTCAGGTTGGACAGACAGAGTACACGAGGAGGCTCTTTTTCATTGCTCGATAAGTTGATATTGACTATTAGCAAGCCGAAGAGAATCAGCACAAGAGGAACTAGTAATTGTATAATAATTGCTTTCTTGTCTCGTTTGGAATTGAGAAACCTTTTCATTAACATTGCTTTGTACTGTTGCCATTTTAATGGAAGCCCCTTCAATAATTCTAAGCAATAAAACAAAATGATTATTTAAATGAATAAAGAATTCATTGGTGTTCATTCATGCTAGGGAGGCTATATTATTAATACTGTAAAGATATGGATACGAGGACCGCATGGCACTATGATTATATAGACATGATATAGAAATGAAAGAAAGTTATAGTGCTTAGAAGGAGGCAATTCCGGGAGAAAGTCCCTTAGGAATAAATTCGGAAAAATTAATTTCCGACCTCGCTTGGATTCGAACCCACGACCTTTGGATTTGTACTACCGATACGGATTTCACCCCGACCTGCTCCCAGTCTGGGCTTGTAGCTCAGCTGGTAGAGCATCGGTACAAATACGAAGGTCGTGGGTTCGAATCCCAGCGAGGTCGGAAATTAATTTTTCCGAATTTAATCCTAAGGGACTTTCTCCCGGAATTGCCTTCTTCTAAGCACTATATCTTTCATTTCTATATTATGAATACCATAAGTCCATGCAACTTATGCTTCCGGACACCATGTAGTTTTGCAAGTTAAAGGATGTTCATTTTAATGGCGGTCGACAAAACTTTCAACGACAAGAATGGTACTTACCGCCCATTATAGGCTCTCCGTTATTTGACATCTCAATTATATTGTCGGTATCCCTGTGTTGATGGTGATCAATCGCACTAAACAAGAAAATATTATCAAGTAATGTTAGGGGAAAATGAAGGATGACCGAACACGTCACTATACAACATCGCATGCTCATATTTTAAGATATAATTAAATAATATAATTATGATTAAATATAATTATAACAACTAAAATTGTTCATTAGGGCTCATTTAAAAACTCATAAATCGCGAGGGAGAGGAAAATATAAGTCAAAATTGAGAAAAATATGTGAAAAGTAAGTTATCGAGGAATGCACGGAGTTGAGATCAGTTTTGTAACTGTACGGTATTGAACACAATAGTCTCCTTCACGGTTCCCTGCGCCATCTTGAAATGTAGCCGTGCCTTTGCATCGAAGCGAGACGAGCATTGAGCGTGCAATAATAGAAACCTTCTTTCACACCTACAGACAATTAATCACAGGTTTCTATCATTGCACGCTCAACGGTTGTCTCGCTTCGATGTAAAGGCACGGATACCTTTCAAGATGGCGCAGGTAACCGTGAAGGAGACTATTGTAATGCAACCACCATTTGTCACATGGGATCGAGAAATCAATATTATCTTGCAATTTTGGTTTCATGGAGTGAAATCCTTTCGCACTGCATGCATAGATATTCTTAATATGCTTACATGTCTTCGACCGTCTTCTCTGATCCCTCTCCCACTTTTATGAAGACTTCTTCCATAGTTGTGACAGACACTCCAAAGCTGGCAATCCCATATTCTTCTTTCTTCACTGAAAATGATTTTAAATGGAGTAAATTACATGAAACTGCCCGATTCAAATGGCGTAATGCAAATGTTAATCTAGTCTATGTGCAAGTTTGCAGTCAACCTTACTTTCCAGGTCGAGGAATAAAGACTCGAAAGACTTTGCTGCTTCTCTGTTTAGGACCAACTCCAACTCAGCGCCAACATTGCTGAGGATTTCAGCTGATGGAACAACTCGCTTGATAGCATTGATGGCAATGTTCTCATTGAAGCCTTCCTTTTTGACCAATGTCAGGTGGTAACCAACGCCATACCTGAAGGAAAAGAACTATTTCAAAGATTGAAGATCATCCTGCATGACTGATCAACTAGCTGACTGCATATATAAACTATTAAAATTGTGAACAAGATGGAAAGCAAAACACTCTAGAAAATCAATGCAAAATAACAGATTTTTACCTGCTCTTCAAAAAGAGAGAAGATCCACAGCATCGCAATTGACCATCAGCCATAATAGCAATGCGATCTCCTAAGAAATCAGCCTCGTCCCTGGCAACACAAAAAAGATTCAAGACAAACACATTCCATTATGTTAATTTTCCAGAACAATGCGTAATACTCACATAAAATGCGTTGTGAGGATAATAGTTTTACCAGCTTTGTATTTCAACAATAAATCCCAGGTGGCTCTTCGTGCGTAAGGGTCCATTCCTGATGTGGGTTCATCCAGGAATACCGTTTCGGACCCCCCTACAAGGGCAATGGCACAGCTGAAGAAGACAAATTGTATGCACCATGAGACAGCAATTTTTTATTTTTTCGATATTGTTTTCAATCATTCCCTGTAGGTGGTTAGGACAGAGATTCGAAGAAATCCACTACTTTGAATGATGGACACACTTTAAAAACGACTCTCCAATTAAACACATTACAAGGGAGTATAAAAATTGCTCATAGAATACGGATGATCAAGCTGTAACTGAGTTGAGCGGATGGAACCCATTTCTGTCGCACACTTCTCTGGAGTGAGGTGAATATCTTTAGTGAGATGAGACCACGTGAATACCGGTCTGAAGAACCAAAATTCGAAACCTTAACTTCTGGATCATCTCTCTCACGCCTCAGCGCTCTCTTAGGCACCAAAGGATCCGTTGTGTAAAAAGATAAATTAAACACCGTAAAAAAGTAGGTGATGTAACTTACTGACGTTTCGGAAGTTAATCCTTCGTCGGAGTACGACGAAGAACGACGGGGTACGACGAAGGATTAACGTCCGAAATGTCAGTAAGTTACTTCACCTACTTTTTTACGGTGTTCGATTTATCTTTTTACGCAACTGTTTCTTTAGAAACACCGACACAGCTCACACTAGTTTACCGCTAGGTCCCACCAAAGGATCCGTCAGTGGTACGTAGTTCTTTATCGGTTCCGGCCTCATTTTTAAGTAGGTTTGAACAATTGGAGAATCAAGCCGCCAATGGCAACACAACTCGAAGATTGATTGTGTAGACCAATAAAGAACGATACGATGAATCAAATTATTATTACTTGACAGATAGAATTTTGAGTATCTGATTTATGAATATAGTTTTTTTTTCGTTACATGTTATTAATTTAACTTCGGTTATGGATAGCGCCGGTGATCGAGATAAATCCCAGTCTAGCCAAAACTATGTAAAATCACCGCAAGTGTCAAAAAACAATAATAACAATCCCCATGCCAAGTAAACACAACTTCGCCTCAACCGCAATCAATGATCGATATCTCGGGAGTTCAATTAAAGCAAACAATAGAAACATCAACAAACAGCCAAATAGAAATTTTCTTTAAAATTTGATCATCAAAGAGTTTGTAAGCTTAAACGTATCAATGATTGAAAAGGTCAATAGATGAAATAAGTTTCATTGAAAGTCTTGGTTTTAGTGTGTCAAACAAGAATTTTGTTAAAAAAAAGTTTACATGTACCATGAACCAGTCAAATAGTATCCGGTTTAACAAGGCAAAAGGGACAACTTCTTAAAATATCTGAGTCTGTCGGAGAGAGAAATGTGTGTTTTTGGTACATTTTTGTTAAATCATAAGTGTGGTCACTTTAGTAATTAAACAAGATAACAAAGAAACTGTCAAAGTAAGTACGCAAAAAGATTTTGCATAACTATCTAAAGACAACAGATGTCTGCAGATTAGTATTCATATTCTTTTAAGCACATGTTTTAAAGTAATTCAGAAGTGTTTGGACGTCGATGTATAAAGGAGTACAAGGAAGACTACAGTCTCTTTGATTGCGAGCTGCGTAGAACTGAAAAATTCTACGACAGAGTTTTCATTGTTTCATTTTGATATTAACTTGGGTTCTCGATAAGCACAGGCCAGCAACTCCGTACAATCATTTTCGAAACGGATTGGAGCATCGTCCAGTCTTCTTTGCTTTCTTCGACCTTTGTGACTTTGTGACGGTATGTCGAATCAAATTATAATTACGTTTCAAATAAAATTTTACATGATTTTATGAATACAGTTTTCTTTTTCATTACAATCTAATTAATTTTAACTTTGATTTTTGGCAACCAGGACCAAGCACATGCAGTTAAAAGACAAGTCTAACCGCACATTATGTAACATTGGTACGCGTGGGCCGAATGGAAGTGATTTCGATTTCTAAATCAGAGGTCTGAGATTCGAGACTCAGAGGAGAAGACATTTCTTTAGATCTTTCTTTACCAAAAAATAAATGAATAAATAATCAAATGTAGAACAGGGAAACCGGTAACGGTAAATTGATGAATAAATTACTAGAAAACAATGAGAATAAATTAATAGTTCTGAATAGTCCTGAAGTAACACAGTCTCAAGTTTACAGGAAAGTGAGTGACTGAGTGAGTGATTGAGTGAGTGACAGCCGACTCGTCCCTCTCCAATAACTCTTCGATTGCTTCCCAATCTTCGAGTTAAAAAGGGAGGGGAGCGGGTGCTCAAACCTAACAAACCTGAGTTTTCTCTTCATTCCTCCAGACAATGTGCGAGACTTTGCATTTGTTTTATCAAGAAGCTGCATATCTTTAATCATGGATATCACCTCGTCATTAGCAGCCTGGCCATATTTACCCTATAAAAGACATTAACACATTAATGGTTGACGTCTGTCTAGTTAACAAAATAGATGGGTAAGGAATCGTGATCGTCGCAATAAAATATACTTATAGTTACGCCATTTTTCTTACTTTCTAAATTGATAGTTGTATTATTAATCCTCTTTCCACCATTAAAGATGTTGTTCTCATAAACGTTTTTTAATTTACCTTTAAGTTCACAAAGAATTCCAAGTGCTCTTTGACGGTGAGTCGGTCAAACAACACGTTATGCTGAGGGCAAAGTCCCAGGCTCTCTCGTATAGCATCGATTTCTGTCAGGATGCTTTTATTTCCTATCACAGCTGAACCAGAAGTTGGCGGAAAGAGACCAGTGAGTATGGAAATAGTTGTTGTCTTCCCGGCTCCATTATGACCCAAGAGTGCTGTGATTTGGCCTTTGAACATCTTCAAAGAGAGTCCATCAACAGCAACCTTGGCCCCGGTAGAACCCTTCCATTAACATAAATACATATTCTCAACATTGATGAGAACATTTCTAGTTTTTTACACAATTGATATACATATCAAAGGAACTCATAAATAACTTGTGCTGTAAAGAACTTACTTATATTGAGAAGATGTACAGTATTTCGAGAAAAAGTATATGAAATTAAAAAAGGTTTTAAAGTCATCATTTTTATAGTCATACATTTCTCTGTACGTTTTCGGCAGTGACTAGAAGTGCTGTACGTACCTTCTAGAATTTTCAAATAATTCTTCTCGCAAACTTATGAATTGGCTTATTTTTTTTACCGTTCCGCTCATGTATTTCTAGTGATGATTTTGCCCTTACGCCCTAATTTCGAAAGCCTGGTTGCTTACTATTGATACGCCACTTGGAAAAGCGGAAAAGCACTTTTTTAGTATTTCTGCAACTACTGGTCACTAACCTTAAAGACTTTTCTCAGATTCTTTATGGCAATGCCTACTTCTAGGTCAGCGGGTTCATCTTCTACGTCATGGCTGTGATGAAGTTGTTCATCATTATTCTCCACCATTGTATCATGAGAGTACCCACACCAGTACGATTTWRAAAAAGGAAAGTAGAATGGTTTTGAAATTCCATACTTTCCAGGAAATATGGCTTCGATATACCTAAAAACACAATATAAGTTTGTACTGCTATAGCATACAGATTGGATAGCACCGTGACGGTTCATGTGTCAGATTACCCTGGTTATCAACCAATAGCTGATAACCATTTAGACTACGGTTTATTGAACTCAACTTCAACATTTCAAGAAGCCAGTTAAGTCGATTTTGGTAAATAGAATATTTGACTACAAGTGTATCACAAGGGTTTTGTTCTTGAGGAAGTCTGCTTATATTAAAGTACTGGCAGTGTTCGAATTGAAAAAAAAACTGCGAATATGAGAGCATAATTTTCAGCTCACATGAAACYACACGTATGCAAATTAATTTGCGTCAAAACGTCCATAGTAACTATTAAGAAACTCGACTTTAACAGTGAATATCAGCGATCCTGACAGCGTGTCCATATCATAATGCAACACCAACTAGATTTGTTAGCGTAGCTTACCAAGTCAGCACCATAAACACAACGCTAGATATAAACATCATTCCAAAAACCCAGGCCATGGTAAATGTGTCTTCTGGGGTATATGGTTCATTGATGCTATCAAATGTAATCCCAACATTTAAGCCTTCAAAGCGTGTGATTAATCTTACACCAATTGAAAGGGCACTGTTGGGAAGCAGGCACATTGCTGCTTTTGCACTCCTGAAATGTGATTAAAAATCATGCATGATTTTATGTTTTTACTGACTAAACTTATACTTGAATTGTTGATCGAACCTAAGCGTAAGTGAATAAAACAATTGTGGGGAAACACTATTGAAATGTTACGAAAAGTGGTCGACTGCAGGGGCGTATCTAGGGGGGAGTAGTTCAGAAATTCAGTTTTCTGTCTTCTCGGGCCGTTTATATTTCGTTTCAATTCAAATCATTAACCATCCTTTGGGCTTCCTGATGAAGACTACATGATTAGAGAAATGTATGCTTTTCTGTTATCCTCTATGGCGATTCTTTTGCGTGAAAACCATAGATTGGTATGACACCATATTGACCTCATATGACATCATAGTGACAATTGTGGTATGTAAGGACCCCCCCCCCCAAAAAAAAAATGATAATCCTGGATAAACCTCTGGACTAACGGATCATAAGTAAGTTGTCAGAACAACCCCTGGATGGCTGACATGAAGACACAGGCATTAGCATGATAAGACCATTATGCCTATTAATGATATTTCTTTAGTATATTCGAGTGACATAGATAACGATTGGACTGCAAGTTGAAGCAGGACTCACCAATAAAGCTGATCGTACTTCTCATTGAATGTACTTAAGATTATTCCAGGTACTAAGGCAGCAAACCACAACACAAAACCAAACAACATACCCAGAAATGGTGAGGAAAAAAACACACTAAGAAGAATAATACCATTAATACCAATAGAAGGGACACTACATTGAAATGATAGCAATGACAACTACCATGATAATGCCACTGTGAGCATGACAATGCAGATTCATACATAGTCGCTACACTCTATTTTTCGATGCGCTCAAAGGGGCTTAGAAAGGGAAAAAATATTGACGGGCAGAAAACATATTCAATATGGCGGCCGATTTCCCCTCAAAAAAGAATACTGTTAAAGAAAGTACACTTCACCGCTGTTTTTAGCTCAAGATCTTCCCACATGCCAACTGGTCCGGTAGTGTTTCTTGCTATTCGCGTGATAGTATCAACCAACATTATTGGTTTAGTCACAATATTTAATTAACTCAAGACGACATTCTAAACGCTGATCGAAGTCCTTTTGAAAAATAAATACACAGAAGAAACAAACTTGTACCAAGTCGTTACGCGTTATTTTTCGATACGCTCGATTGAGCTGATGGAGAGAAGAAAAATTTGCATATTGTGCGCCGCTGAAGAGAAGCGACCGGTTACGAGTCTGATGGTGATGACAATGACAATAAAAATAACAATAACAATAATAGAAAAATAACGTTGCCTTCTACACAATAGACGCATAAGTTTTTCTGAGTAAAAAAAAACAGTACTTTTCATACCTGATGAAGAAGCAGTAGGAAATACCCGACATCGCATACAACAAGAAAAACAAGAATAACAAAAACCCATTGGTGTGTTCAAATATCTTGAAGCCCTTAAAACACAGTCGACGTTTGTGTATTAGAATAGGAATTATACCATGATTTAAAAATGTTTAAACCTTTACCTTTAAGATCGCAGTAGTAAGAACAAGACTGATCATTAAGAACAATAAACATTTGATGTACCAGGCCGCCCAATGGACCCAGTTGGCCAGACCCATCATTTTCATAGACTCCTTCAAACGGTTTTGCTTCTCAAAAACAATTTCCTACAAGAGATATCACGTGCGATGTTTTCAGTTTAGTTATTTGTTAAGTGGGGAGAGCAGTAATGCCGCTGTCTTACTTAATGTACTTATATGGTGATGACTATGGAATGGATGCGAAAACAAGGGAGGATCCCTAACACATCCTGAGAAGCCAAAGAGGATTCGCACTTCGTATTTCCGAAGATGTCATGAATTAATTCTTCTCCAATCGCAACAGCGTCGAGGTTAATGCGATTTAAAAAGTACTAAAATGTACAACTGATTTGGAAACTTACTGGTATTTACTAAACTAACGGCAACTCAAAGTTTCACAGTCGACCGTTTCCTCGCTCGCGACGGTTCATGCAATACACCTTTTCAGTTGCTCTTAGTCCTCGACAACATGTTAAATATTCTTTTGAATTTGTAGGCATGTGAGCAATGCACACATTGATATGAATAGTCTTAATTAGCAAATTCCAAAGAATATATAACTTGCTATCGAGGCCTAAGAGCAACTGAAAAGGTGTATTGATTCAAGATTATGTTTCAAGGGGCGAATAGAGTCATGCAATGAATTTCTTTTTTTTCCCAAAAAGTTAACATATGATTGCAAGTACTAGTTAACTGCATTTTGTTACAACCACCCTAGTGAAGTAAACAACCAGAGTCAATATAAAGTACCAAAGCCTCTGTCTACACGTGTGTGGAAATCACTACTAGACCCAGAGTCAACATTTTGAAAGTCATATTCACTGAATGTATCCCGCATGCACTGAATTCAAGAACTTACAAGAAAGGTTTGAAGGTTCAAATGTACATTCATAATTTAGGAGTCTTGATAAGGCCAATAAGTTACCTTTATTATTGACATAGCTGAATAGATAAATGCCAAAGTGAATAGCAAAGGCATCAGCTGTATTATTCCAGTAGAAAAATAATTCGTAGTGTAATCAGGATACGGAAATTGCTGTGAAAATAGAAAACAAGAAAAAAGTCAATTAGTAAACAGAAGAATTGAAGCGCAGCAGTGAAATATTTTATTAACACTATACGATGTTACTTGGAACGTTGAACGTCAAATTGTCTATTTTTGAAGCATGAGGGGTGCCGAATGGTCCAGTGAGATTTTCCGAGAACGGCCCGCCAGCTGTTTGCAAAGACATTAGTCATCATCTTGTTTTCATCCCAAAAATAAAAAAAAAAAATGTTGGATCCCATCCCATATGTATGTGTTCAATGATTCCCTAGTCTCAGTGTTGAACATTTTATCTATCTACATAAACTATTACCTCGAAAATGTTTGAATAACGTTATCAGAGTTATGTCGATATGTTACAAAGAAGTAGTACAAAAACAGCTACTTTAATATACATTATTTTCGTTACTAATTACCTGTAAGTTCAAAGGTATTATGGATGGAATGTTTGTCTTTGCCTGGATAATAGCCATATCAACTGCATATTGGATGGGTATAAACTTATCTGTATACTGACTGAAAAAATGTCAGTTACTATAAGATGATGCCTAGTAATCTCGGCGAATCGCCGGGTTTCTTTCTCATTAATGTAATTTATTGAAAATAAACAATTTAGCATTCTTACGAATCTAGTATTGGTCCTGGGTCTTGCCAACTTGGATATGTTTGATCTGTATTCCATCTTTCCCAACGTTTAGTTGTTAGTCGAATAGTGTACTTCACGTTCTTTGGTAATTCAGATTGATCTTCCTTTATATCAAACACTACCACTAGTAACATAAAAAAAGTTAGCAAACTCGTTAAGAATTCATGAACCGTGAGTCCAAGGGCTGTCACTTGTAAATCTGATATAACAAAAGTGTCTTTCTTTCTTTTTCAGAATCACTCGTTTTTTGACCTTTTTTCGTGTTCTCCCAACATCCTCCCGTGCTTCCCCCCCCGATAAGGCTGCGTTCATAATGTATACCACAGGGGGGGTGGGGGGGGGCAGGTGAAATTTTTTGGGGGGATCGTAATTTTTATAGACATTTTTTGGGGGGATGTCAAATTTTTACTGTATTCAAGAGGGGGGAAGGGGGTGCTAAAATATTAATTAAAATCTTAATTACTCATGGAAAGCAAGGTATAAATTGTAGAGGTTTCAATTAACGGATTAAATGCCATATTAGTTTATAGAGAACATGGTAAAAACCCACAAGTAACTTATTTGTGTGTTTTTTTAATCATCTTGAAGCCCTTAAAACACAGTCGACGTTTGTGTATTAGAATAGGAATTATACCATGATTTAAAAATGTTTAA